CTTTACCAGCTTTGAGAACACTTTAATGATCAATCATTATAAAACATATCATATATATTATTCTGAAATGGACCAATCTGTTCAATGACTACTTTTACTGTCGCTACTTTAACTATATTTTGATGATAATACTTTTCTACTTTTACTTGAGTAACAATTTGAATGCAGGACAGAGTATTCAGTATTCCTACACTCTGGTACTTCTACTTTCACTCAAGTACAAGATCTGAGTACTTCTCCAACGTCTATTTAAAGTTAAATGTAGTATGTGATTGTAAACAGTATTTAGAATTCAATTTAAGGTAACGATAAAACGTTACAAATTAAGCTAGGCAGTCAACGCTAATCTTGTTAGTTGCCACCAATTATTATAGTTGTAAATGTTGTTTTTACTTTTAATTAGTTGTCAAAAAAGGTTATTTTAACGAGTCTAACGGTTGGTAAAGCTAACTCTTATGCTAACTGATAGCCTGTGTTTGCTATGCTTCCGTTAGCAAACACTTTTCGGTTTTGTCCGTTGAAGCGTTTCATATCCAAACCGTGCTGAATGTCTAACCATCGGATAGTGTGTTTACACAATCAGGACTGAACGGAGGGTTTTTAACTTACCATTTCTGCCCAATTCACAACGTTTATTCCTAAAGTCCCGATGCTGTGTTCAGCTAGCAGACATTAGCCATCGTGCTGTGTCCCGTTGCTATAGAAACTGTGGACAAGGTGCGTTCAGGGTCGATAACTGACAACTGAAAAAACATCGGAATCTACCTATTGTCATAAAATAAAATGGTCCAAAGAGAAAATCAAAAAATAGCCTATGTATTTCATTATGATTATATATTATGTATTATTATATTATGTTTTATTATAAGTACTGTACTTAAGTACATGTTTGAGGTATTTGTACTTTACTTGAGTATCTAAGATGTCAATAACAACATACTGTATATGGTATATTCATATTAATTTTGTCGACAATGTCTGCATTATACTGGATATTTGTATGCCTGATATCGGCTATATTCAATTTCTATACTGCTGTTATACCTCCTTATACCTCCTTATATTGTTCATAGTGTAAATACCTCAGTTTGTTTATATCTGTCACATGTATATATATATATATATATATATATATATATATATATATATATATATATATATATATATATTATACTTGAATAACTTTCTCCTCTTTTTGCAGACTTTTCTCTGACCTCTGCAAGTCTCACATAAAGTGTGTAAAGTGGTAATATTAGATCATAATTAAATATTTGAAGAGCTCTGCTGCCATCTTCTGGACTACAGGCTGGGATATAATTCGTACATTTCACACATTTTTTGTGCATAATGCATTTAAATGTAAATACATAATGATAAATAATACATTTAGAAAATCAAATCGGGAACATTATCATAAAAAATATTTAAAATACAAAATCATAACATAAAAACAAAGAGATTTAGGCTAGTTTTGTTTATGTGGATCTGTGGTAATGTAACTTTAAGTGTTCAAATGTTACATATTTTTAACAGTATACATCAATTAAAGATACAAATCCATTGAGCCAATGCATTATTCACATTATAGATCAGGAATTCACAAACTCGGCCCTTTCTTTCTGTGTTCTTTCTCATTTTTGACAGTAGATGCTTTTGCCTTGATTTAAAAAAACAACACGGGGCTTCCGTAGAAACAACACGTAGCGTTGTTCAGGGGCGGGGCTTAGCGAACGAACGTTCAAACATTGATCTGATGATCTCATGATGACGTCATAGCTTTGATCCGGTGACATAATTCGAAGTGACGCATCAAGGCACATTGAAACATGCAAAGGGCCTCATTATCACATCTGGTCACCCTTTGAGAGGCTTACAGAGAGTGCAGTGCGTTAAAAAACAGACAGTTATTTCACCAAAAGGATAGGATAACTTACCAAAGAACTAATTCAGAGCATAGTAATTATTAGAAAATAATTATTACTGCAGAGCAGAATTACTTATAAAGATAGTAATTATTACAAAATAATTAGTATTACCAAGTAGTTAAAATTAAATCTAAAATTACTATGTCTCAATCAGCTAGCCCACAGGAAGAGAACATGGCAGAAATCGGTCAGGAGGACATCCTTCCAGTGATTGTAAAGTTCTTCAGCAGGCTGCCAGTGGATAAGTGGGAATCCCTGAACAAAAGCACATCTGATGATGACATCAAAATTTATGTGGTAGAGTTTATTTTGGACCTAGTAGAAGTAGTGACAAAATTCCTACTAGTAGCCATGAAGAACAAACATTTCATCATTTCTGAGGAGGTTGTTTGGTCCGTTCTGGGCAACACACTCTCTCAGACTATCGCTAATTTTCTGGACATTAAGGACACGGTTGAGTGTGCCAGCGCCACAAGTTTAAGCAGGCTGCTGGTGAAAGAAGTTGTAAGCAGCGTCAAGTCAGCAGTCAGCTGCAATTCCCAGGCTGAGGGTTTTATGGAAAGCGAACACGTCACTTCCCACCACAGACTTGATGTCATGGTTGGTCACGCCATCCATATGTTGAGAACTATTTGGGCTAAGATGAAGAGTTTGTTTCGATTTAGATTACGCAAAGAGAAGAGGGCTATGGAGACCTCCACTGATGGTCAAAAAGGGGATGACGTCAACGAAGAAAAGAGCCACGAGTCATCAGGTCCCTCAAAAACCTCAGAGGTCGACTATACCCTCTTTCAAACCTCAGGGTCCGAGTCTACCCTCTCAAAAACCTCAGGTTCTCCCCTCTTTCAAACCTCAGAGACAGGGTCTGCCCACTCAAAAACCTCAGAGACCAAACCTGCACTCTCTAATAGATCAGGGTCCGTACCTCTATTCCCTAAAACCTCAGCCAGTTCTGGGTCGAGGACCGCCTCAAGCGGATTAGAAGACAGCATTGGAAGCGATACATCCAGAATGGTCGAGGATATAATTACAAAAGAGTTTTTAAAAATCACAGAGCCCCTAATGGATAGTATGACCAAAAGTGAGAGCGATCTTCTTAGAGCCGACACGGTCAAGGAGATTGCTGAACTCACTCAATTAATCGTGAAGGAGAGTCTGGGAGAAAAGAGCAATTCAACGCTTACCACTGAAGAAGTAGAAGCCGAGATCAAGCTGGGCGAGAAAAATATATGCGGAAAGATCAAGGCCTTTTTAACCAGACGTGTTGCCAAACTGACCATACATCGAATGTTGTCAGGGCTGAAGAAAACCTTTTGCCCTGGAGCAAGAGCAAGCAGCGTGAATTCAATGAGGGCTTTTGATAACGATATTGATGATCTGCTCACGGAGGAAAGTGATGGAGACCACGATTGCGACGAAGTTTGTGTTAATCAGAGAATGAAAGACATTTCCCTCCGCAAGAACCATGTGTTCAAAATGGATCTCAAAGAACTCCTCGACACTCACACCACGAGAGAGATGACGATTCCTGAGTTAACCCCAGGAGTTACGGAAATATTAGAGGCTGTGAAATCTGCGATAACGAGGCAAGTGCGTCGCTTCTTAGCAGTGTTCGGGTGGTTTGTGAACAAGAAGGCTGTCACACAAACTAAAAGGATAATATCGGCTTTCGAGGACATTGAGGCGCGACCAACAATCACAGAAGAAGCCCCAGTGTCAGTGTCATCGAAAGCCAAAATGGAAGTCAGGGTTCTGGTTCAGAAACTGGTCACACGGCTTTTCAAAAACGCAAAGGTGAACTACGACGTTGGAAACGCAGTCGGCATCGTTGAGAGCTTGTTGGAGAAAGTGTGGGCCAAAGTCGAGGGGGAAAGCTTCACAGTAACCCCGGACACCTTTCAGACCCTCGACAAGGTGGTTTACAAAGACCTGGTCAGGATCTGGGGCAGCGCAGAGTCCGTGCTCGTGATCTTGAACATGGAAGGATCGTCAGAAGAAAATTGCATCGCGTCCATTTTCAAAGCTCCCCTGATGCGTCAACCAAAGAAGCTTGGAGCCGTCTGCAAATTCTTCCGCTCTGTAGGCAAGGCCATCAGTAAGCCTTTCAGACGCAGCTCTGAGCCCGTGTGGATTCTTTAAAGGGGGTTATTGAAATGTGGGGTCTTTAAAGGGGGTTATTGAAATGTGGGGTCTTTAAAGGGGGTTATTGAAATGTGGGGTCTATTGTAGGGTGGGATCTTAAGTTAGGGTGGTAAATATGTGTGGGTGGGTTTATCATTTTGGGTTTTACTCCGGGTTTGTCCCGAAAAATTATGTGTGGGTGGGTTTCATCATTTTGGGATTTACTCGGGGGTCGCTCCGGTGTTTTCCCAAAATATTTGTGTGGGCGGGTTTTATCATATTGGGTTTTCTCCGGGTTCACTCCGGTTTTTCCCGCTTACCATGCAACGGATTGGACGATTAACATCTCCACCAAAAACTGCATGGTATCAACCTCTTATATTGTTATCAATAAATGTTGAAAAGCATTTTTACTGTTTCTCTGTCTTTAGTTTACGGTTGAATCTGTTAATATGTAACACATGCTGAAGGTCTACTATTTTAAGTTTCACTTCAAGATCAAACTTTTGTGTTTATTGTGAGAAAAATACTCAGTTACAAAACAAATGAATGTGTTATATATGTTATTGTGTCATTTTACAAATATATAGTACATGGGTAATTACATTGTCACAGCAGCAGGGTTGTCACGCATTACACATGAGTGAAACTATTTAAAAGAGACAATAAGATACAGATACAATAAAACAAAGAATGTACATGAACAGCAAATACAACATTACAATAGAAAATACATCTAAATAATACACAATATAAAGAAAATACTGAATATATTTAAATACTCTACAATATACAATTGCACTAGGCAACAGTTAGAAATATACAGAGTATTAAATAATCAAAATAACCAATAAATTAGAAAATGGTGCTGTTGTGGAGCACCTAATCACAATAATTATTTGAAATTCCGATTGTCTTTAAACGCACCATTTGACCTGTTTATTGTACCCGGAACAAAAATAACAGTCAAAGTCTCGTCGAGTATTTCTTCCTCATAACTGTGTTTTGTGAAGTAGGCATTAGATTAAAATAAACAATTAAAAGGTAGAAGTCTAGGTTATAACTTCAGGGACTCTTAAATAAAGTTGTAATGGGTTCCTCTGCTGGTCTCAGACTGTATATGAGTGATAATAACGGACCTTTAATCCTGGATGGGGGTCTGGCGACTGAACTGGAGGCGCAGGGAATCAAATTACAGGTAAAATATAATTAATAATAACAATAATCTTTATCTGATTAACTACTTTTACTAAGGTTTATACTGTATCCGTCAGTTTGTCATTCAAATACTAATTTCTGTGCACCAAGTAGGCTTACATCTTCCTGTTTACTAAAATAAAGTTACCTGATTTATTTAATATCATGTAATAAAAGATAATAATACTCATGGACGCGGGAAGGGGGGGTGCTGAGGGGGCTGCAGCACCCCCATCTGCGAGGCTCCACTAGCACCCGCAACCCCCCCTCGCATACAAATCTTTCTAGTAAGTATTATCAAATACACTATAAAAAATATATAAGGTAGCTATAAAAGTAGTCAACAACGATCAATACAACAAACAATGAATAGCAAAGTGAATTTAAAATGTATATTTCATGGATTTAGGATTATAATCTAAAGGATGTTAAGGTACAAATAAATGCCAAAAGGTGTATTTAATGAAGACTGAAACAAAAACAAGAGAAAAGGTGTTGGAAAATGTATAAAATGTCTGTCCATGTGTGTGTGCGCCTCACACAGGGAGACCCTCTGTGGAACGCCAGGCTTCTGCACACAAACCCCCAGGCCATAAAAGATGCTCATTACAGGTAAATCCATGCACAATATCATATTAAAGAGGACATGCAATGCTCATTTACAGGTTCATATCTGCATTTTGTGCCTCCACTGTGACATGTTTACATGCTTTCATGTTCAAAAAATGCTTTTGCAGACCATTTACAAGCACAACAACCTCTATAACACACGACAGGAAAGGTATAAAACCCCCAAAAGCGTAATAGTACAATACAGCACTCCCTATCAGAGATGGCAAAAGTACACACATCCTTTACTCAAGTAGAAGTACAGATACTCGTGTTCAAAAATACTCTGGTAAAAGTAGAATTACTGACTAAACTTCTTTACTCAAGTAAAAGTAAAGAGGCTTTGAAATGTACTTCAGTAAAAAGTACCCATAACTAGCAGCTGTTTTAAAGAGTACCTGACCTCCCTTTATATTAATAGAACAATAATGTCATTGTTAGCTAATGAATGTTTCCATGCTGAACAACGGCAACATGACAACGTTTTCATTGGTCCCTCTTCTTTAGAGAAGACCAGGAAATGTTGGATACACGGATCGTGTTCAAATCAATAGGCACGCAATGACTCTAAATAATAATGATCACGCCACCAAACACACATTCAAACTAAAGGAACCAGCCTGTTTGGAAAATGAAAGAAGTAGAAAGTTCAGGTATTTGTGTTCTAAATGTAAGAAGTAGAAAGTACAGGTATTTGTGTTCAAAATGTAAGAAGTAGAAGTAAAAAGTCGTCAGAAAAATAAGTAGTGGAGTAAAGTACTGATACCAGAAAGATGTACTTAAAGGTGGGGTAGGTCATTTTGGAGAAACCAGCTCGAGATCGCTGGAATTTGAAAATACACAACCGGAAAAAATCTGCCACTTCCTTACAGAGCCCCTCCTCCAACACACACGAACGCGCACATGACCAATGAGGGCACGAGATAAGTTTGTGCACAGATGGAAGGCTGACAGGCAGGTAGGCCATCCAGTTATTTTAGCCGGGCCGGCTCAGATGATTGGTCGTGCTTTTTACAGTACTACGGCTTCCACAGATGACATTTTTTATGTATTTTTTGTCAAAGCACTTAAGATATTCATTGCTATCGGATGTTAAGAGCATTCCATGGAATATAACAAAAAGTGTATCTCGAGCCGGTTTCTCAAACTTACCTACCCCACCTTTGAGTACAGTAACAAAGTATTTGTACTCCACTACTTCCCACCTCTGCTCCCTATCAACACACCGTTTTTTAAACGTGGTGCATCAACAGGTTTCTGCTCAGTGGGGCTGATGTTATCACCACAGCCACGTACCAGGCGAGTGTTTCAGGATTCATGAATCACCTGGACGTGAGTTGTGATCGAGCCAAAGAGCTGATGATGTCCGGAGTTCACCTCGCTAAAGAGACTGTGGAGAAATTTGTTTCTGACACTCATCCAACAGGTAGAAAACTACACTTTAGACACTCCAGTTTGGGCTGTATTGCTTATATGTCTTCTGTAAGATGTGTGCAAAGCAAACATCCAAACACGTAGGAGTCGATTTGTGTCTGTAGATTTCTCCTAAATTAGCCAAAAGTGACATAAGTTAATGCCTAATTTGCATATGTAAACATAACATTTCAGAAAAGTTGTAATACAAAAAGCAATTATTCTAATGTTAGTAATGAACCTGGGAAGTTTCATGGTGATATATATTAGTTAAATGTTTTACCCTATTCCCCTGCAGTGTATGAATATTACAATACATATCTTTAGAGTCCATTTTCTCTTCCTCTCGCACCAGATATCTCCACTCCAGGAGTACTTACATACACCCAACTTCCCAGTTACATTCCTATCTATTTTCTGGAGCTTTTTACAAAGTCTTTTAATCATCGATTATTCAAACCCTTATTTATAGGTCATTTATTAACTAAAAACATGGAGAAAACTGATTTCCCGGTTACCGAATTTTCAGATTTATGGAGTGATACAAAGAGATATTCAAAGGGTCCTCTGTAAAAACCTTAAACCCTTATATGTTGTTAGAAAATGTTCACTCGTCACCGGCTTGATCTTCAATCTCAGGATCCATGTATTTCTGATCCTCTCCAGAATGGAAGTAGTCATCACATACAGAGCATCAACTAGTTCCTGAACAGTGTCCTTCACATGCTGATATCCAAGAGAGGGAGTTACACAGTCACAAGATGGAGGAATAGAAAGCAGTATTCAATGTTTACTTCAGATTAGCTCCACGTCAGAAATGATCATGCTTGTCATATGTCTATCTCCATAGAGGCTGAATCATCATGTTAATCACATAGCTATCATATGCCTCAAACAGTCCTGATGCTCTTCTAGGTAATCACACATCCTGTCATGTTCACAGCTACAGTTGGGATACCTTTGTTATCATGTGTACTCTCATATTGGAAGAGAACATTCAGTATTTTCCCAACATATGTAAACAAAATAAAACATGAATTTTGAACCTGGCTTTATCCAATGTTCACATCTCTCAGGGCGGAGGCGTCCGCTGGTGGCCGGTTCTGTCGGACCGTACGGAGCGTTTTTGCTCGACGGCTCCGAATACACCGGGGCGTACGCAGAGAAAATGAGTGAAGAGGTGAGCTGGTCGTACTGGTATTAACTTATTTATCTTTTACAGGCACAACAAATTCAACAAATCTTAAATCTCGGACCCCCTCCAACAGCGCTCTTTAAATGTGTATACAAATAAAAAAGTGAACATATAAGAATTTTCTTTAAACATGAATTAATGCAATTTAATTTCCAAGTTTGTTTAAGAACACTGTTGAAAAAACAGATCAATGCTGTTGCTAAGCATTGCTCTGACAACAAATCTATTTAGCCTTAGGTTTACAGATGATAGTTACATTGTTATTTTTCATTAAAAGCAACAGTAGCATTATGTAAAGAAAGTCATAAATACACATTTAAAAGGTTAACATTATGGAAAAAAAGATTACTTGCTGTTAAATTCAGCTCTTAAAGGTGGGGTAGGTAATTCACTTCAGAAACACTTTCTGTTATATTCCATGGAATGCTCTTAACATCCCGATAGCAATGAATACATGAAATGCTTTGACAATAAATACATAAAAAAATGTCATCTGTGGAAGCCGTGGCGCTGTAAAAAGCACGACCAATCATTTGAGCCGGTCCGGCTAAAATAACTGGATGGCCTACCTGCCTGTCAGCCTTCCATCTGTGCACAAACTTATCTCGCGCACTCGAGCTGGTTTCTCCATTCTTACCTACCCTACCTTTAAGTTAGTTGAAAGATTTTACTTAGAGAAAATGATTTTCATATTTTGCATATTTCTGCACATTATTACCGACTCTAAAGGTGCACAGCGTTTCCCCTTTAGTTCATATATTTTCACAGTCAGTTCTCATATTTCTTAAGTATATATATAAATATAATATTTCTTATAATATTTTGTCTCAATATTTATTGTTAACTTTTAATTGAACTTCTCTTACTGTGTTTCAACTATGCTCAAATCCCCCAAAGCAAATTCCTTGTGTGTGAAAACCTTGGAAATTAACTAAATTCTGCAGTTTTGAATGCATACCTGTTAGTTCAAGGGGCATCAGAGCATCTTTTCTAAAGGCTTAAGTCATATGTAATGATCTCAGGTGTCTTTGTTGCTTCTTTGAAGGATTTTAAAGTGTGGCACCGGCCTCAGATCGAGTGTCTCGCAGCAGCGGGAGCCGACTTCGTGGCTTTTGAGACGATCCCGAGTCTGAAGGAGGCGAAGGCTCTGGTGGATCTGCTCCGAGAGTTCCCCGACGTTAAAGCCTGGCTCTCCTTCTCCTGTAAGGTAACACTGTCTGTGTGATGGAGATCATGCAATGTTTTCAGTGTTTGTTGATTGTTATGTACCTGCCTAAGGACTGCAGATGGAAATGAGCTATTGAGAGGTGAATTCACGCCCATCTACTTCCGACCCATGGGACCTTATTTCGGAAAAAGTATGCATTGAAGTCAATGGAGAGAGAAAGATTATCTTTCGATCCCGTTTGAATTGTGCCACGAATTACACATATGATGTTTGTCAATCTTAACAAATAATTTCCATGTCAAAAAAGTCACAGTTTGTCATAAAACTGTTGAAATATAAGACTATGAAAAATATGCAACTAGAAAGACTACAAATCCCAGAGTCCCGGTCCCGCATGCTGGCTCTTAGGAACCGACTAACTCCCCTTGTGTGAATGTACAGCTCTCAACATGCCCAGACTTGGAGTGATTTTCACCTCTTTTAATACTTTTCGCCTCATTCTGAAAGAAAGAGGTGAAATGTGCCAACGTGACGGCCGTCTTGGTGTGTGGTGCGAGACGGGAGATGTAGTTCATTGAGAGGTTTCACACACAAAAAAGTGTTACTTCACAGTTTTACGACACATTTAAATTTTTTTGACTTGTAAAATTATCTTTTAAATTGACAAACATCATATGTGTAATTCATGGCTCAATTCAAACGGGATCGAAAGATAATCTTTCTCTCTCCATTGACTTCAATGCATACTTTTTCCGAAATAAGGTCCCATGGAGGTCCCCCGGAAAGGGAGGGACTTCGCCTCTCTATTAGCTATAATCTGGCATCTCTTCTCTTTTCTGAGATTAATGTATTTGTATGCATGGTCCTTGTTGAAATAAATACATAATAATAACTGCAAATATACAAAGTAACTAGGGCTGAAACACTTCATTCAACAAGATCTTACTTTCTACATCTTAAGTTTGTTATTCTTAAAGTTCAATCAAGATGATATTTTTAGGAACCCTTGAAAACGAGATGGTTCCTCAGAAGGGGTTTATCATAAATACATACATTTCAGATTTAAATCTATGACCAAATTATAAAAGATAAATAAAATAGAGACCCTTTGGAGAGGAGACTAATGTCCAGGAAAGAAAATAAGAGAAGGATTTCCGTGAACAAGTACAAGTACAAGAGTATAATCATAAAAATATACTTAAAGTACCAAAACTAAAAGTACACATTATGCAAATTGGCCCATTTTAAGAATAACATATTATATACAGTATCTTGAATATAATTATCAATGCATTAATGTGTTTATTAAAGCTGCTGTGATGCAAGTCAAATTTCAGACTTGATCTGACCATTAAAGCATTATCGTATCGTAAAGGTGCAAAAAATGGAAATTCTCAAGTAAAGTACAAGTCTCTCAAAATTGAACTTAAGAGTCTGATTGCAAATCTTAGGTACTGTTTGGAAAACACTGAATGTCCTCTTCCAATCTGAGAGTAACATGATAACAAAGGTATCCCAACTGTAGCTGTGTGCATGACAGGATGTATGATTACCTAGAAGAGCATCAGGACTGTTTGAGGCATATGATAGCTATGTGATTAACATGATGATTCAGCCTCTATGGAGATAGACATATGACAAGCATGATCATTTCTGACGTGGAGCTAATCTGAAGTAAACATTGAATACTGCTTTATATTCCTCCATCTTGTGACTGTGTAACTCCCTCTCTTGGATATCAGCATGTGAAGGACACTGTTCAGGAACTAGTTGATGCTCTGTATGTGATGACTACTTCCATTCTGGAGAGGATCAGAAATACATGGATCCTGAGATTGAAGCTCAAGCCGGGGACCAGTGATATTTTCATCAAGTACATAATGATTTAATGAGGATTGATGAATCTTTGCGTCCTCCTCCTCGTCCTCCTCCTCAGGATGGGCGGAGTCTCTCTGACGGCAGCTTGTTCTCGGAGGCGGTGCAGGCTGTGATTGGTTCAGATCAGCTGGTGGCGGTGGGGGTGAACTGCTGCCCCCCCGCCCTGCTGCAGCCGCTCCTGGACTCTGCTGCGTCTCTGGGGACGGACCCCTGCTGGGTGGTTTACCCCAACAGTGGAGAGGACTGGGACTCTGAGCACGGGTCAGTGTAATGCCGATCTAAATGTCCCATCTGCAAACACTCTCATATCACTCAAACAATCTCTCAAAACTCACCTTTTCACTCTTGCCTTCAACTCCTAATCCTCTCACCCAGGGGGGTCAAACCCAAATACACAGTGGGCCAAAATAAAAAGATGGGTACTAGTCGAGGGCCGGACTGGTTCAATGTTTATTGCAAAACGTATTGAAATGAACTTATTGCACATATTAAACCTGGAACTAACAAAGCTTAAACTATTGCCATATAATTATTTCAACATTAAACATTAAATAATCAGTTGCATTAATTTCTCATGTCTCTATCTGCAGCTTTTCCAGAGTCATTTCTTATGATCACATTTCTCCACAGGCCAACAACAGCTTCAACAAAACTATTTCCCCTCAAAGAACAAACCAAACATGCCCTGTTGTCGTGAGAGAAAAAGTGCAGAAGGAAACATCCATGTAAACTCAGTGTGCTGCTCTGTGATGCTAGTTCAAGCCAGATACTTGGCATCTCATCTTGGGTGCTAGTTCATCAATGTTTGGGGTCAGGCTCTGAGCTGAGGAGACCCTCAGGATGGAGTGAAGGTGCAAAATACCGGCGGGCCAGATCTAATACTAATTACAAATTATCCTGCGGGCCGAAATTAAATCCACCAAGGGCCTGATTTGGCCCCCGGGCCTTGAGTTTGACACATGTGCGTAACCCCTCGCCCTTATTCCACCTAGCTTAGCACTTTTGACTATGTTGTTATTGTTCTTCTTTACTTGCTTGTAAAGCGCTTTGAGCACGAGGAAAAGTGCTATATAAATCAAATGTATTATTATTATTATGAATGGAGTCTAATAATTAAACAATTAGAATATTCTTAATGTACATTGTACCTACATTTATATATATGATTCAAGATTCATGATATGAATGCTGGATGGTTACTAGTAATTGAGTATTTCCACAATGTGGTATTGATCGTTTTAGTTTACTTTTACCACTGTTGACTGTTCATGAATTCAGTGCAATCATAATTTGGAAAGAAAAAACGTGGCTCTACTGAGATTGTGAAGCTATACATTTGCAAAACAAACTCATACATTTAAGGGGAAAATACTTTGATATTTTATTGGACTTTAAAGTCATAGATTTTTGAAAAAGGAAATAACACCTCAATCTACTCGCAGATCGGTGGTAATAATAGTGGAGATAAGTGGTTAGTAATAAAGAAGAAACTCACATTTACAATAAAAAACTGGTATATTCTCAGGGATATGTATTTGTGAGAAGAAATCATTATAAAAATTAGTATTCTGAGATAAATTAAGTCATAAATGTACAAAAAAACAACACCAATAACCCCAAAAATGATTGAATAATATCCGAAAAATCATAAAAAGTCTAAAGAAATATAATAAAGTCGGTCGTTTTCTTTTTCCTCACAAAGGTGGCGAACATCAAAGACAGCCTCATCATCGATCCCCAAACTGAGTCACACGTGGAGGAAGCAAGGAGCCGCTTTGATCGGTGAGGTGGACTGGTTTTTTAAGAAGAATTTCCTCCTGAGTTTTCTCTAATAATTCCTTGTTTTATTTTTTATTGATTATTATTTTGTATTATTTCAATCAGGAGAGACTTCATTTTGTTTAAAGAACATTTATTGACACATGCCATATGATGAATGTTAAGTCTTTGGTGATTAGACCCCGATCCTGAAATCGTATATCTAAAGGGGGAAATGCAGCCGTGAGCATATAGGGAACCCCCCCCAGGGTCTAGACACTGGTGATGATGCTGAAGATCTGGATTTGATGAGGAGATGGGATGAAGAGGAGGTGGGATGAGGTCTTTGGATTAGCTCTCCTGGCATTGGATGTGATGAAAGGAGGTGGATGGGGAGGAGGTGGGATGAGGTCTTTGGATTAGCTCTCCTGGCATTGGATGTGATGAAAGGAGGTGGATGAAGAGGAGGTGGGATGAGGTCTTTGGATTAGCTCTCCTGGCATTGGATGTGATGAAAGGAGGTGGATGGGGAGGAGGCGGGCGACAGCATGAACACCTGAAATCACGCTGACTGCAGGAGAGAGGAGAACCATTTTAAAGTTTGGCTGCAGCACGATGATTGGCTGCTGAGATTGAGGGGAATCTAATAAGTTAACAGGAAGCCCGTGATGAGCTGATTATAAGCAGCTGCGGAGTGAATGTATACCAGCAGGGCCGCCCCAGACCAACTTGGGGCCCCAAGCGACATTGTGAGATGAGGCCCCCCCCCCCCCCCAACCGACAGGAGTGAAACCATTTTTTTTGGAAACAAAGTAGGCTACTTTGCAAATATAATTCCTGTTTATTATCATTATCAACACAGTTACTTTTTTATACAGTGAGGTAAATGGTAAATGTGCATGTATGTCGTTCAGTATGCGTTTACAGGTGAATACGTCTGCATTTCCTGCCAAATACTAGCCTCAAAAAGATTAAAATATAATTAATGCAAATAAACTACTACTACTAATAATAATAATAATCAATTCAATAATATAAATACTATATTATTTTATTATAATATAGTTGTGATATAGTCAAGACAAAACATGCTTATTGCATGCTCAAAAACTGATATTTCTTAAATCTGTATTCAAATGTAGTTCCCTCTGTCAGCAATGTATCAACAACTACACACACATTTCTATCAGTATTTCTCTGTGTTGTGGTTGACATGATGATGACTGTTAGGAGTTAGGGGGAGAGGCTGAGCATCACCATGAAATGTGCAAATTGACATAAAAATGAATAAAAGGAGAAAAAATGCTCCATGTTTTTTAGGCTGTAAACTTTAACTGTTATGTAAGCCAACTAGACAGACAGTTTATCACTGTCCCTCCTGTACATTAGCAGATAAAAGGCATAACATACTTGAATGAATGGTAAATAAAGAATGCTGGAAATAACTGCATCTCCATTAGCCTATATGCAGAGATGGGGTCGTTACTAAAAAAAAGTAATATATTACACTACTTTGTTACTCTCTACATAAAGTAACTCGTTACTTTACTCGTTACTTTACTCGTTACTTTACTCGCAGGGCCGGCCCGCCCCTCCCTACAGGCAGATCACGCAGACTGCTTTCAAATGTTCTCTTTAGTTCAGTTTCCATTGTCGCATAAGACTGATCCAGATAGCTCTGACTATGGCTGTCCTCTGTCTCCTGCTATCTGTATTTTGCGCAGTATATCTCTGAACGATGCGATGGTGATTCCACTGTGCAAATGGGCAACATTACCTCTACTATGAAGGATGCTACAAGCCTGTCCATCTCTGCTTTGGTTACCGGTCCTCCAAATTCTAATTTGTGCTGCTTCAGAGTCGGCGGCGGCGCACTCACAACATCCTCACTCTGGGTTCGGGGGTCCTTAGCTATTAGCTTCACCTTAGCATGTGTTCTTTGCAGGTGTTTGTTGAGGTTTGACGTGGTGTTTGCAGCAGTGGATAACAGCTTCTGGCCTGGACACAGTTTGCACCTCACCGTCACATTCCTGTCTATTCTTCGGACGAACTCAAAATAATGGGCATACCTCCACCCCTCGAAAGTTATCGCTGACTCAGCCATGTTTATGCAGCACTGCACGTGGAGATGTGGACGCGCAAGTCGCGCAGATTACGTACATATAAACCTGCGGCGGAAACCCCTCTTGTCTGTCAGTGTGATTATGACTGATTTTATAAAAGTAACGACCCAACTCTGCCTATATGCTATGCAGAGACTGCCTTCTTCATGTCGTGAATTGCAGCTGATGTTTTAATATGGCAATTGGCAATTTGACTCATACAACATTCGCAAGTTGTACATTTGACTCATACAATAACCCACCTTCCAGTGATGCTCTAGTTTCTTCATGTGGGGGTGCGCGGAGAACTGCGCACAGCAGCTGAGGCCCTCTGGGCGGGGACCCCTGCGCAAGGCGGGACCCCATGCAGCCTGCGTGATTGGCCTGTAGGGAGGGGCGGCCCTGTATACCAGTCTTCCTGAAAGAACTTGCGCTGAGCTTCATTTACTCATATTTATTTGTTATTTTCTTCCTCAGGCGGTTGCTGCCGTATCGGCCCTGATGAGATCGCAGAGTTACGACGGGAGTTGAAGGGAAGCAGCACGACTGCAGAGTGACTGTAACGACAGAAAGATGTCCGAAACTTTGATAAATAAATAAGTGTATAAATCACAGACATCAATCACACACCAGCTTTTCTGATTTCCCTTGTTCAGGCTTTACAGGGAAAATATGAACAATGTTATATTCCCAATTTCAAAAATAAAATGGGGGGCTTGGCGATAGAGAGGCGAAGTCCCTCCCCTTCCGGTTGAGCTCCATGGGACCTTATTTCGGAAAAGTTATGCATTGAAGTCAATGGAGAGAGAAAGATTATCTTTCGATCCCGTTTCAATTGTGCCACGAATTACACATATGATGTTTGTCAATTTAAAATATACTTTTACAAGTCAAAAAAATTAAAATGTGTCGTAAAAATGTGAAGTAACACTTTTTTTGTGTGAAACCTCTGAATGAACTACATCTCCCGTCTCGCACCACACACCAAGACGGCCGTCACGTTGGCACATTTCACTTCTTTCTTTCAGAATGAGGCGAAAAGTATTAAAAGAGGTGAAAATCACTCCAAGTCTGGGCATGTTGAGAGCTGTACATACACACAAGGGGAGTTAGTCGGTTCCGTAAGAGCCAGCATGCGGGACCGGGATTCTGGGATTTGTAGTCTTTCTAGTTGCGTATTTTTCATAGTCTTATATTTCAACAGTTTCACGACAAACTGTGACTGTGCCTTGTTTGTGGAGTTTATATCCAGTGTACTTCGTTTGAATGGACAGCTAGCAGGCAGACAGTATATTTAGCCAGCATGGAATGTTGCGTAAAATAGCACCATAGACATTAATGTCATAAATGTTCATCATATAAGTGTGACATGTAAAACCGTTTATGCAATTGACAGTGATAAAGGGATTTGGTTTTCATTAATGGAGGAACAATTTAGTAAATTCTTCAAGTAATTCAAGAAATGAACTTTATTATTTCATTTCATTTCATTAGAGGAAGTATGCAGGACTCAATGGAAGTCTTTGTGGGACAGGTTCCTGAAGGAAAAAGCTAAGGAGAAAGAGGCAAAAAGAAGCGGGGCAGGGTCGTCAGGGGGATATAAGCCCTGGCGTTTCACGGCAGTGATGGGTTTTTTAACCCCATTTATCTTTGACCGTGAGACGTCCAGCAATGTCCCCCGGCAAACCCTGCCTCCATCCAACCTGGTGCCAGAGGAAGAGAGCCAGGAAAGCCAGCTAGAAAGTCAGCCAGCCAACAGTCAGCAAGCCCAGGCAGGGGAGACAGGACAGGAGGAGGCGATTGTTGAGGACCGGGAACGGGGAAAAAGGAGAAGGAGAAGGGGAAGGGAGATGTCCTCCTTCGAAAAAGAGTTGATGTCAGCCATCAGTCCTTGGTTAATGCCACCACCTCAACCTCATCCTCCACCACCCCCACCAGTAGTGGTGTTGGTGGAGGATCAGGACGAGTTATTTTTCAAGAGCCTCTTGCCTTCCATGCGAAGGCTGTCCATTTCAAAGAGGGCAAGAGTGCGATTTGAAATCCACAAAGCCATTTTTGAGGCAGAGCAGGAGATGGAAGAGAACTGATTTTTTTTTTGTAATTCACACACATACTACACTACACCACACTACATGTTTTACACTTATCCACTCATCACTCATCACACACAATCTTACATAAATAAAAGTTATTTAAAAGTATGTTATGGCTCTACTGTGTCTTCACTTGTTCATGTGGTTTGTCAGTTGCAACATACCAGACGCTTCATGTATGTTGATATATAATGTGCTGTCTTCTGTACAATTGTCCATGTGAAAACCTATTGAAATTATGAGTGGTTTATCAGTAAAAACAGGGCTGAAGGAAAAAGGTTCTTAGTAATATCATATCAATTCAAGAAACATGTTTATTAGGAATGTTTTATTTTTAAATGGCTCATTTGGAATATTTGCTTTTTAAAGAAAATATGGGTAGCTCTTAAAAGAGCTTTTGGTTTGGTGAAGAGCCATGGTGACCCTACACCACATTCTGCTGCCATGGCACTGCACCCTCCTCATTAAAATAGGAGCAGAAGTTGTCCCGCAGTTGGAGCAATCTGCGTGTGGCATTGTTGGAGCCCATCCTCGGTACATCACACAGGGTTGGAGTATCTGGAGCTTCATCCGTGGACTCCTCGACAGATGTGTGTGATTTCCTTCCTATTGTCATCCTGCAGAGGAAGTTGTGCAACACACAGACGGCCTTCAGACACAACTCTGTTACCTCCGGGCTGGTGGTAATGACACGCCTGAACATTCTCCACCGAGAATTCACTGGATGAAAAAAACGTTCCCACGTTAATAAAAACAATGATTGTGTTGGTTAAAATATCTATATTCAATGTTCAATGAAGAACTATTCAGTTCAAATCAATCAAAATTAATTTAGAAAGCCTTGAAGAGGGGAGTACTGTTCAGAAAACTCCGGGAAGAAAATCTAAGATTAAAGTAGTAAATTTAAGAGAAAACATCTTAGTTATTCTCCGTGATTAAAGGGGTACGTAAATAACCGTGAAAAGAATAACAAGAAAACTAGAATATTCTCTGAAATTATTGGATCATACATTAGGGAAAACTTTACATTTCTCAAAGTCACAAAATTCAAAAGAAATGTATTTGGACCTCAGAGAATTGGTGATATTTTTCTAGCAAATGTTGACTTTATAGTAAAAGAATATTCAACTTTTTTTATGTGAATTTACCACTTATTTTAGAGATTATCCAATTTGTTTTATCATGAATGTACAACTTTAGGAAATCGAGATTGTACCCCTCCCCTGCCTCTACAATTTAATTGCCATGCCTTTTCTTTTGGAAAAATCCAATATATTTCAATTATGTAGTGTCTCTACTTTAAAGAGTCCTCTCCTGCTGATGTTCAGGTGTATATCAGTGTGTAGTGTCTCTAATTTAAAGAGTCCTCTCCTGCTGATGTTCAGGTGTATATCAGTATGTAGTGTCTCTACTTTAAAGAGTCCTCTCCTGCTGATGTTCAGGTGTATATCAGTATGTAGTGCCTCTACTTTAAAGAGTCCTCTCCTGCTGATGTTCAGGTGTATATCAGTATGTAGTGTCTCTACTTTAAAGAGTTCTCTCCTGCTGATGTTCAGGTGTATATCAGTATGTAGTGTCTCTACTTTAAAGAGTCCTCTCCTGCTGATGTTCAGGTGTATATCAGTATGTAGTGTCTCTACTTTAAAGAGTCCTCTCCTGCTGATGTTCAGGTGTATATCAGTATGTAGTGTCTCTACTTTAAAGAGTCCTCTCCTGCTGATGTTCAGGTGTATATCAGTATGTAGTGTCTCTACTTTAAAGAGTCCTCTCCTGCTGATGTTCAGGTGTATATCAGTATGTAGTGTCTCTACTTTAAAGAGTCCTCTCCTGCTGATGTTCAGGTGTATATCAGTATGTAGTGCCTCTACTTTAAAGAGTCCTCTCCTGCTGATGTTCAGGTGTATATCAGTATGTAGTGTCTCTACTTTAAAGAGTTCTCTCCTGCTGATGTTCAGGTGTATATCAGTATGTAGTGTCTCTACTTTAAAGAGTCCTCTCCTGCTGATGTTCAGGTGTATATCAGTATGTAGTGTCTCTACTTTAAAGAGTCCTCTCCTGCTGATGTTCAGGTGTATATCAGTATGTAGTGTCTCTACTTTAAAGAGTCCTCTCCTGCTGATGTTCAGGTGTATATCAATATGTAGTGTGTGTATTTTTTGCCTGAATTAAATGAAGATGATTTTTCCACCAGTTTATAAAAATCTTAATTTATTGGAAAAGCAATAATAAATAAAGCAGTACATCTAAATTGCACAATGACATCTGTATTGGGTCAGAGACAAACTGTGGCTGTACACAAACATAACAAATAAATAACATGCATTCATCACTTTCTCTAGTTCCATTTTTTCAACGATTCACTTCAAAATCTGGGATTATCTACGCAAAACAATCTTATTGGAGGTTTCACAAAGATCAACATCATGTCAGCTGCGTTCACAACACTTGAACTTTTAAGCATTTCCACTGAGATCCACAACACAAGCCCACTTACCTGTACAACGAGTTATAAAAGACTAAGAAATAAACAACTTAAATATGACCCCAAAAATGATTCGAATCCACGTCTGAGAATCCTAAAAGTCATGAATTCACCGATATTATATATACATGGTGGTAACACTGTTTTTCTTACTGTCAACAAATCCCACAAGAAGACCAAAACCTTGAGATTTTATTTAAGTTTAATTGCGAGTTTCAGCTCATTACCTGACTGTTCATGTGCTTTATAGATGTGATGGAGCGTGAGGTATTATCTTTAAAAAAGGGACCTATTCTGCACATGTTCAGGTGAATATTTGTATTTTGTGCCTCTACTGTGTGACATGTTTAAATACTTTAATGTCATGTGTTATGAAGCATTTTGGCACTTCCTGGTCGCTCGTCTAGAAGTCAGTGGTTTTTAGAACATGTTTTTGGTTAAAAGCCTGAACTAAGGTGTACAACGTTAAGAGATGTTAACATTCTGTTCTATATAATATCAAATATGTCAGTAAATACCCCACTGGTGCTATGTGTCAGCAGTTGATAACAAGTGTCTAAATTAGCCGCCATTAGCTTAGCGGTATTAAAGTGAAGTCATGTGACCGTGCTGTAGTTCCTGCATAGCCTAACGTTAGCTTTTTACTTCTAAAGATAGCATTTACGCATATTTATAAAAGTGGTGTTAATATGTGGAGATTATCCTGCTTGACAAAATATGTAAATATCATAAACAGAGCTAATAATCCAAAAAGTTGTAGTAGAGGGAACCAGTGAGATGCTAACTTCTACACCACTCAAGAAGAAGGAAGATTAAGAAAGAGAAGGACGTTTTTGGAGGCAAATCTTCCCGGTAACAAGGATGACCAATGAGAGAACAGCTTGCTCTCAAACATGGCACTTAAAACTTAAAGGTCCCCTATTATACTGTTTTTCATCAATATATTATAGGTCTCGGACATATACAAAACATGTCTCTGAAGTGTTTGGCTGCAAACACCAAACAGATCATTGCAGCATCCCATAATCCCCTCTGTTTCAGCCCTGTTTCCAAAGTGCTGATTCTCTCTCTGTTACTCTAGATGAAAATAAGGAGCCACTCCCCACGCCCCTCAGAGAGATATTTGGTTAAAAAGAACACATTAGCCGCTTTCACACCAAGTACTTTGCCGTACTTAGTTCCCAGCACTTATTTCCCCCATGGAACTAAAGAGCCGATCGTGTTCACACCGGAATAAGTTCCCTGAGGGAAGATTACGCAAATGAAGCCGCTGACGTCACTTCTTCTTCTTCTTCTTCTGCTTTGGGTTTACTGGCAGGCCGCAAACCACTTCACGGCGTATACTGCCACCCGAAGTCCCCGGCCGGAAGTCCCCGGAGTTGGGGACTGGCTTCAGTAGAAGCTGCTGGGACTCCCAGCAGCTTCGACTGAAGCCTTCCGAGTAAATCGCCAGAACACCAACACCTCCTCATCACTCCACCGCTCCCATGTTTTATTTTGTGTTGCCATAAGTTATTCTCTCTACGTTGGTGCTCGGGGCTAATGCTAATGCTAATAATGCTAATGCCAGCAAATACAATGGCGGCTTCAAAAAACGTTTTCGAGTTTTACGGGGCGTGGTTTGCAATTCGCCCAGCCAATCAGAAATTGGAACTTTTTTTCTCCCCAGGAAAGTACCACCTCTCTAGCAGGGACTAAAAAGGGGGTAACATTTCTCATGAACTAAGTTCTCTTGTTGGTGTGAACGCAAAATCCCAGGAACTATCGGAACTAAACAGGAAAAGTACTCCGGTGTGAAAGCGCCTAATGGTGCTCTAGGAGGAGATTCAGGTGATAAGGTGGGGGGGGGTTACCTTGGTTGGTGATTGGCTAATGATTACACAAGCCAAAACATCGTTATGACATCACAACGTGGCCAAAATCTGATCAGCTCATTTTCAGACAGGTTTTTATAGAAATGGATCAGGACAAAAAGAGAGAGAATCTTTTTTACACAGAGGGGACACACGTGGATTTTGCATAATAGGTGACCTTTAACACATGGTTGGTTTTTGTCTTTGCATGGGATTAGTTGGTAGTAAAATACAAAACCAGACTTATCCTGTTAATCTAAGTGTTTCTGTACTTTAACGTCTTGTTATTTAACCTTTCCCTCAGTCTGCGATGTCCTCCTCCAGGTCTCTGTCGGGGGATCTCTGTCTGTACTCGCTGCTGTTGGACAGGCGTTTCCAGCTGGAGTCTTTCTGGCTGCCGGTGCTGTTGGAGCGGCCGATGTTGGCAAGGCGTTTGGAGGTCGTTCTCTCTTCTTCCACGTCCTCCACGGAGCTGCTGTGACCCGCGTCGTGCCGCAGGTTCTCCAGGTTCAGAGCCCAGGGCCCGAGCTTCTGCCAGTTCAGCCGTTGGAAGGCCATGATGCAGTGCAGGTTACCCCCCACCTGGGGGAAGTTGTCTGAGGTTAGTTTCTGACAAAGACATTTTAATATATATTCAGCAACAAATAAAAAGGACAGCTCTCCTTAAAATCTGAAACATGTTTTGCTCGCAGTGCTTTTTCTTACACCAAGTTCCACGAAAATCTGCTTTAATCCTGCTGAAACACAACCTTGTTGACGAAGGTAAACAGTAACTACATAAAACTGCTATCAAATCAAGGTTAAGGTGGATTATCTTGAGTACTGGGGTCATGTTTTCCTTTCCTGTAGTGTGTTATATAGGTTTTTGTGCATGGGGATGCAAAGGATAAAATCCCTGTGTTTCTCTTCCTACATCACTATGTAACACTCACGCTCCTATTGGCTAGCGCTCCAACACATTGTACGTGATAGAGATGACCCGCCCCTTAGCCTAAGTGGTTGACCAATCACAACAGAGCCGGCCAGCTAACCAATCAGAGCAGACTGGGCTCTGGTTTCAGGCAGAGGGTGAAAAGAGGTGCTGCAGCACAGGCAGTATGAGAGAAATAAAGAGCTTTTTGAACATTAAAGCATGGAGACATGTAGAGACACTACATACTGATATACACCTGAACATCAGCAGGAGAGGACTCTTTAAAGTAGAGACACTACATACTGATATACACCTGAACATCAGCAGGAGAGGACTCTTTAAAGTAGAGACACTACATACTGATATACACCTGAACATCAGCAGGAGAGGACTCTTTAAAGTAGAGACACTACATACTGATATACACCTGAACATCAGCAGGAGAGGACTCTTTAAAGTAGAGACACTACATACTGATATACACCTGAACATCAGCAGGAGAGGACTCTTTAAAGTAGAAACACTACATACTGATATACACCTGAACATCAGCAGGAGAGGACTCTTTAAAGTAGAGACACTACATACTGATATACACCTGAACATCAGCAGGAGAGGACTCTTTAAAGTAGAGACACTACATACTGATATACACCTGAACATGAGCAGGAGAGGACTCTTTAAAGTAGAGACACTACATACTGATATACACCTGAACATCAGCAGGAGAGGACTCTTTAAAGTAGAGACACTACATACTGATATACACCTGAACATCAGCTGGAGAGGACTCTTTAAAGTAGAGACACTACATACTGATATACACCTGAACATCAGCAGGAGAGGACTCTTTAAAGTAGAGACACTACATACTGATATACACCTGAACATCAGCAGGAGAGGACTCTTTAAAGTAGAGACACTACATACTGATATACACCTGAACATCAGCAGGAGAGGACTCTTTAAAGTAGAGACACTACATACTGATATACACCTGAACATCAGCAGGAGAGGACTCTTTAAAGTAGAGACACTACATACTGATATACACCTGAACATCAGCAGGAGAGGACTCTTTAAAGTAGAGACACTACATACTGATATACACCTGAACATCAGCAGGAGAGGACTCTTTAAAGTAGAGACACTACATACTGATATACACCTGAACATCAGCAGGAGAGGACTCTTTAAAGTAGAGACACTACATACTGATATACACCTGAACATCAGCAGGAGAGGACTCTTTAAAGTAGAGACACTACATACTGATATACACCTGAACATCAGCAGGAGAGGACTCTTTAAAGTAGAGACACTACATACTGATATACACCTGAACATTAGCAGGAGAGGACTCTTTAAAGTAGAGACACTACATACTGATATACACCTGAACATCAGCAGGAGAGGACTCTTTAAAGTAGAGACACTACATACTGATATACACCTGAACATCAGCAGGAGAGGACTCTTTAAAGTAGAGACACTACATACTGATATACACCTGAACATCAGCAGGAGAGGACTCTTTAAAGTAGAGACACTACATACTGATATACACCTGAACATCAGCAGGAGAGGACTCTTTAACAAATGTCCCAACACTACATGAATGCAGCAGAAGCACCCTATCTCACAATGTTCTAAAAACACAATGCCTTTATCCTTTGAGTAATCTCAACTGTTCCAAAATGATATGGAGTCTTCTTTGGCCTATGCTACACCCTCACACCAAGTTCCATGAAAATCTGCTTTAATTCTGCTGAAACACAACCTTGTTGACGAAAGCAGTAACTACATAAAACTGCTATCAACAAGGTTTAGGTGGATTATCTTGAGTAATGGGGTCATGTTTTCTGGAAGAGACATTCATGTTGAGTCTTTTTACATGATTGTTTTGCACAAGCCGAGTGCTTTTCTGTCCCATTATTTATATATATATATATATATATATATATATATATATATATATATATTGGAGAGAAGACATACATTTCTAAGGTCCCATTGATTAATAATATGTATGTTTTTTGTTTTGTAGTGTGTGAGTTAGGAACCTTTTTGGTTTTGCGGCGCTGAATCCCTCTCTCTGTGTGACGGATGTCCAGATATTCTGGATTCTGAGTGTTCAGGTCCGTCACAATGTCCAGCCATCTGGAAACACCATTCATGATTAAAAATTCCACTACAGTAGACCATTAAATATGAACTGAATAAGTTAAATATAGTTCCAATGGTGTTAAGTAACTAGGCACATTTACTCAAGTACTGTACTTAAGTACAATTT